GATATTAGATTAGTGTATTTTTAATTTTATATAGATATATAAAAACAGGAGTTACTTGGACATTTATCTGATTTCATAACTGTCAATATGTGAAAACTGAAATTTTTTTAAAGCAAAGCAATGTCATTCCACCAGATGTCACTGTTTGCATGTAACAATGAAGTTACAATGATTAAAAATAAAATCCCCCATTTCCTAATCATATTTTGTAAAAAATTAAAATCTATATAGTTATACTCTAGATTTATTATTTTATTAATATTATATTCCCTCAATTTTTAAAAAGTTTTCAAAGTGTTCATTACCTCTGCCGTAGATTTTGAAGACTATAGTAAAGAAAATTATTTGTCATCTTTAGAAGATGAACTCCTAAAGTCTTTTCTAGATCTAGGAGTTTGCTTTTCAAACAACAGTCTTTGTAAGTTACTATTTTCTAAATAATAGATTGTGACCCAATAAGAGGTTGTGAAATCAATTCAGCGGCTTGCTACAAGCACTTAAAAGTGTTGTGTGGAATAGAATACTCTATTGCAGATATTTTTGTGGCAAAATTTTTGCACATGAGCACTCTTAAAATATCCCTGTACACATCTTCTTTGAGTTGTACAAAAGTGACTGTGAGCTCCATCCTGTCCCAGGCTTTGTACCCCAAGGAGCAAGATAAGTTGGTTAAGGAAAGCAAAGATGTGCTGGGGGAATTTCTTTGTTAGAGCCACATCAAAGAGGAGAGGAAGGGTGCTGGAGGGAGAACCCTTCTTTATGCTTCAGAAGATAGAGCTTATGTTCTCTTTTATGTAACTCAAAGAATATGTATGCAGATATTTTTTAAATGTTTATTTATTTTGGGGAGACAGACAGAGTACAAGCAGGGGAGGGGCAGAGAGAGAGAGGGAGACACAGAATCTGAAGCAGGCTCCAGGCTCCAGGTTCTGAGCTGTCAGCACCAAGCCTGACACAGGGCTTGAACCCATCAAGGACTGGATTATGACCTGGGCCAAAGTTGGATGCTTAACCAACTGAGCCACCTGGGTGCCCCTGTATGCAGAGATTTTTTAAAGAGTGCTTATAGGTTAGAGCAAATGTTTTCTAAGCTTCTTTGATAGCAACCTACAATAAGAAATATATTTTATATCACTGGCCCATGGGGGACAAGAAAAGAAACATAACTCACTCTGAGAGGTGGGCACATTTCCTTCATTTAATATCCTCAATGATAATAGCAATAATAATTGAATACCCATCACTTACAATTACTTAATAATTGAACATATACTATGTGCCATCTCTCATATATATTATTTCTAGGCATTAGACCCTGAAAGACCTGATCACTGTTGCTGTGGACAGATGAAGAAACTGAGACCTAGGAGGGAAAAGCGACCTACCCCACTTGTGAATTAGAATCTCTAGAGGAGCAATCTGGGAAGCTATAGATTTGACAAGCTCCCAGGATATTCTTTTTTTTTTTTAAATGTTTTATTTATTTCTAGGAGAGAGAGAGAGAGAGACAGCATGAGAAGGGGAGGGTCAGAGAGAGAGGGAGATACAGACTCTGAAATAGGCTCCAGGCTCTGAGCTGGCAGTCAGCACAGAGCCCGACGCGGGGCTCGAACCCACGAACCGCGAGATCATGACCTAAGCGAAAGTCGGACGCTTAACTGACTAAGCCACCCAGGCGCCCATCCCAGGATATTCTTATAATCAGGATGTTTTAGAAAAGATTGTAGTACATCAGTGGTTTACAGTGTACATCAGGATCATCTGCAGGGCTAGTTAAAACAGATGACTGGGTCCTACCCTGAGATTCTGATTTGTTAGGTATAATGGCGGGGGGGGGTCAAGAATTTGCACTTTCTAGCAAGTTTGTATGTGATTTTAATGATGCTGGCTAGGAACCGTGCTTTGAGAATCACTGCGATACATCATGCTACCTGTGATTCTCAGTTCCCTGGGACAGAGTCTAGGACTGGCTTTGGCTGTGAGACTTTTCTTGCTGAGCCAAAATACAACAATATGTATTCAGTATGTACTGCATTTGCATCACAGAAGATAGAAAATGAGTAAGAATCACTTTTCTCTTCCAACTAGTCTATGTCTACTGTGAAAAAGATACAAAGAATAAAAAATAGTATATTCTACCATGAAAGATCTGATCAAATGCAGCAGAAAAACTAGGGAAGCAAAGATAAATTTTGACTGGGTAGAGGGGGATCTATAAAGGTTTCAGCGAGGGATTTGCAGTCTGAAAGTCTTTCATTATTTTCATAGCCACACTGTATTGTAATTTGGTTTGCCTGTCTTCCCTATTGTCCCTAAGTAATTTCGGCACCTTGGGCACCTTTTGCATAGTGAATTAGGTTGGGCCAGGAGTTAGGGGAGGGCGGTAGGATCGACAAGTAGATGGTATCCAGACTGCGGAGGACCGTGAATGTGAGGCCCAGGAGCTTGGGTCTATACAGTGCGTGTAGTCATTAAAGTATTTGGAAAGGGGGTGAGTGATGACACCTCTGGCAGGGTATCTAGTAAGGTAGATACGGTGGCAGGGTATATAGTATGGATTGGAGGAGGGAAGGTCTAGAGGTGAGGGGCCAGCAAAGATGATATCATAGGACTCAGATGAGAGAGAATGCAGTGGACAGGAGGGACACCATGAAAGAAGGAGCAGAACCAGTAATTACTGCTGGGAATGAGGGAGAGATTGGATATGAAGAGATTTTCAGTTTGAAACGGAGTTTTCCAAAAGGGAGAACTTCTAGAAAGGATTAGCTCTTCTCTCTGGACATAAAGAAGGAAGAAGGGAAAGTCTGGAGAAAGATTTCCAAGTAATTGATTCATCTTTGTCATACAGGAACAGTTGCTAATCTTGGATAGCCTTTCACTTAGATCCTCTATACATGTCTACTTCTTTCATTTTCCTTCCCACGAACCAGAATGTCAGTTCCGTTAGTGCACATTTGGAATGTGAAAAGGCAGTAAGTTGGGAATTTCTACCTGTTTTTGGTTTAGAGCTAGATAAAAATACAGCATTGCCTTAAGGTGGCTTCTTATGTCACACCTGTCCTTCATGATCTTAGAAATACTTTACTGATCTTGATATATGTAGTCTCTTGGCTCAGTATTGCAGCCAATAGACTTCACCCTGTTCTTTGTTATTTCTATGCATATTATTCAGGATTCAGTTGAAGAAAACAAATATTTTTTGTTATTTTAAGCAAAAAAAGAGTTAGTAATTAGAATTCAATGCTTATAAAACCAATGGAAAGATTGGGAAAGTGGGCTGTAGGCAGGGAGGGTTTCTGGAGATGGGAGATGGTGCACAGCATGCTTAAATGGCTGCTAAGGGAGCTGCTTCTTCTCCATGGTCAGGAAGGTAGTAAATCTGGAAGCCAGTACTGGCAACATACCACCTTTGCTGTGATTCAGGGATCTGGTGGCCTCCACTGTTATAGCTTTTGACTCTAAAACCACAGTATGTCTGTTTGATATGCTCACTGACGACCACTGCACCCCCCCAAAACCAAAAAGCACCCTGCAAAAGAAGTACTATTAACTGAAATACTGCTACAGTAGAACTCAGTGTTGCCATGACTACTAACAAAAACATCAGAACCTTCTGCTTTCCAAATTGTATGTTGAGTGCATCTTATTAGTGGGTCCTAACTCACATCTAGGACACTGGCTGCAAGAGAGTTTTACCTCTTCATCCTCTGTAGTTCAGGAAAGCACATTAGAAGGAGGAAAATTGGGTGTTGAGTGGCAGTCAACCAATATTCACCATATTGGCAGTTGAACTTTATCTTCTCTTTGAATTCAAATATTTGACTAGTTGAGATACCAGGCTTTTCTCCATGACTCTGCTTTGCCAAGCCCTATCTCCATGAGGCTAGCTTTGGGTGTACCTGTTTTTTTAAGAGCTGGTATGATAGAGTCTGAAGGTTTCAACATATTATATTATTAAGTAACTAAAATGAATTGAGTGGTTTGTGAACTTGTAATCTTCATATTTGATGACTCATAAAGTGATTGCCTATTCATATAATATCAAAAAATTAGAACATTGGCTCTAAGTACTTCCATGTAAAATTGATGTAGTTATAGTCTGTGCAGGCTCATTTTATATTCATTTTATAGTTATTTTACAGTAATTATAAAAATTAGTACTAATTAATACAGAATTAAAGTATTTTTAAGCAGTCCATAAATTAGTCATTAGTGACACATCTTGCCTTCAAATTTTCATTTAGCTTGTTTCTTTGACTTAATTAAGACTTTTGTTTATAATTTTTTACTATATATATATATGTAGTTTGTAACCTAGAAGGGAAGACTTAATGCCATAGATTTTTTGTTCATCCTGGCAAGATGTAAATCAAAAGAGACAACTTTAACGTGAGAAGGCAGTTCTTGGGCTGACACTTTACCTCATTCTTTTTTTTTTTTTTTTAATTTTTTTTATTTATTTCTAGGAGAGAGAGAGAGAGAGACAGCGTGAGCAGGGGAGGGTCAGAGAGAGAGGGAGTCACAGACTGAAACAGGCTCCAGGCTCTGAGCTGGCAGTTAGCACAGAGCCCGACGTGGGGCACGAACCCACGAAGCGCGAGATCATGACCTAAGCGAAAGTCGGACGCTTAACCGACTGAGCCACCCAGGCGCCCCCACTTTACCTCATTCTAAGAAATGAGACCATTTCCTGTGGGCTTGGAGTGGGGAGCCAGTTAACAATCAGAAGGTAGAGACCTTTTTACCTCTTTTGTAATCAGGCTTTTACAGGATGAATTTATTATTCCAATATAGTAAAACCATCGTGAAGGTTACTTTTAAAATATATACAGAACCACAGAAAAATTATTTTGAATTATTTCCCATTACTGATGATCTGACTTCTGCACAATTTCTGCTTATTACAGATATCTAATGTCATTGTATTTATTTCAGCAGAGATAAGAAGTGAGACTCCTCAGTGACTTAAAAACCAATGTATTGTTTTTATCATACTGTAGAATACTGCAAGGACATCCTGTTGTGGATGATAATCAAGAATATGTTGCAGGACTTCCAACACCACCAGTGGTACTACCTGATTTGGCACAAGGAAGTAGACAGCGAGCTCAGAAACCATACCTACAACTCTTGGGAGAGGAAGTAAGAGCTTACTTTAATAATACTTTTCTCTACCTCACAGCTCTCAAACCTCTTGGTTTTGGACCCTTTTTATAATCTTAAGAATTTTTGAGGATCTCAATAATTATTTATGTGAGTTATATCTATTGACATTTACAAATGTTGGGAATTGGGGCACCTGGGTGGCTCATTTGGTTCAGCGTCTGACTTCAAGTTCAGGCCGTGATCTCACAGTTCATGAGTTCCAGCCCCACATCGAGCTGTCAGTGCAGAGCTTGCTTTGGATCCTCTTTTCTCCCTCTCTCCCTGTGCCCCTCCCCTGCTTGCTTTCTCTCCCTCCCTCTCAAAAATAAATAAACTTGAAAAACAAACAAACAAAAATCAAATGTTGGGAATTAAAACTGAGAAAATGCTGAATGTTTATTTTTTATTTATTAAAAATAACACAAATGGGGTACCTGGGTGGCTCAGTTGGTTAAACGTCCGACTTTGGCTCAGGTCATGATCTCATTGTGTGGTCCATGAGTTCTAGACCCACATCAGGCTCTGTGCTGACAGCTCAGAGCCTGGAGCCTACTTCGGATTATGTGTCTCCCTCTCTTTCTGCTCCTCCCTCACTCACACTCTGTCTCTCAAAAATGAATAAACATTTAAAAAGAAATAAAAAATACTAATAAAATAACATGTTAAAATGCATTTTTTATGAAAAATTATATTTTTGAAAACAAAATTTTAATGAGAAAAATAGGGTTGCTTTACATGTTTTGCAATGTTTTTAATGTGTAGCTTGCTGGTAGACAGCTGGATTCTCATGGCTGCTTCTGTGTTCAATTTTGTGGTTGCTTGTTTTGGTTGAAAAGTATGAGGATAATTCTGGTCTCACACAGATATGTAGTTGGAAAATAGTATTTTAAAATATTTTTTAACATAATTATGGATATTTTTCTCTGATAATATGCCAAAACTTAAAGTGATAGTTTCTTGAAAGTTATTGCAAGATCTATACTTCTAGGAAAGGTGGAGAAAAAGTACTTTACTCTTTCTTATTCTTTCTGCTAAGTACAACTAAAATTGCTGGATGTTAGACACATAAAAGAGTCTTTAAAGTGGAGAGGAAGGCACATAACTAGAAACATTGGCACCCAAGAAATGACATGGTCATGAGTTAGTTCCTTGAGTTTTCTTTTTTGCTTCATGTATACTAGACTTGGTACTGAAAAAGCTGTTAACCTAGAAACAAAAATAGGCAAAGGAAAAAAAGTTCCAACAGAAGTCTGCTTTCTTTAGCCAAAGAACCAGAAAGGGGCAGACCTTGAAGGACAGAAAATTTTTAGACAGTAACTGCTTTATTCCAGTTAAACACCAAAGAAAAAACAGTGGCCCTACCCACTACCCTTGAAAGCCTATTGGGAAATTGAAACTCAACTCTTGCCAGAGTATAATGAGGCATTCTTACACCCCTGCCAGGGGCATATCAAAGAAGACTGAATGTGGAGCGGGGCTTTAATCTTATCAGAGTGTTAAAGAGATCCCCCTCCGTGTTGTCACTTGAAACCACATGGGGATCTTGGACTTCTATCCCCAGTTATCAGTAATGACCACACTTCCCCTTCCCCACTGTGCTGGTATCAGAAGAAGCCTAGTGGAGTGCCAGCTAAAATAGAAAGATTAAATAAGATCAAGAGTCTTGACAATAATAAGTCTTGGAATAAACAGTTCTGAAACACGTAAGGAACCACAAAAGATACTGAATGGCCAAAGCAATCTTGAGAAGGAAGAACAAAGCTCTAGGCATCATGCTCCCTGATTCCAAACTGTATTTTAAAGTTATAGTAATCAAAACAGTATGGTAATACTGGTGCCTGTGTAGCTCAGTTGGTTAAGCACTGGACTTCAGCTCAGGTCATGATCTCATGGTTTATGAATTTGAGCCCCATATAGGGCTCTGCACTGACAGTGTGCAGTCTGCTTGTGATTTTTCTCTCTCTCCTCCCTCTTTCTCTCCACTCAAAATAAATAAATAAACTTAAAAACAAAAAACAATATGGTATTTCCATTAAAAACAGACACATATATCAATGGAGCAGAATAGAGAGCCTAGAAATAAACCCACACGTATATGGCCAATTAATTTATGACAAAGGAGCCAAGAATATACAGTCGGAAAAGGTCAATCTCTTCAATAAGTGATGTTAAGAAAGCTGGACAGCCACACGCAAAAGAATGAAACCAGACCATTATCTTACACTGTGCACAAAAATTAACTAAAAATGGATTAATGACTTTAGTGTAAAATCTGAAACCATAAAACTCCTAGAAGAAAGCGGGTGGTAAGCTCCTTAACATTGGTCTTGGTAATTAATGATTCTTTGGATTTGACACCAAAAGCAAAGGCAACAGAATCAAAAGTGAACAAATAGGAGTATATCAAACTAAATATCTTCTGTACCGCAAAAGAAGCTATCTCCTACAGACTGGAAGAATATGTTCATAAATAATATATCTGATAAGGTATTAATATCTAAAATATATAAAAAACTCATACAACTTAAAAACAATTCAATTAAAAAATGGGCAGAGGATCTGAATAGAGATTTTTCCAGGAAAGATACAGATGGCCTACAGCTACATGAAAAGATGCTCAAGATCACTAATCATCAGGGAGATGCAAATCAAAACCGCAATGAAATAATATCACCTCACACCTTTTAGAGTGGCTATCATCCAAAGGACAAGAAATAACAAGTGTTGATGAAGATGTGGAGAATAGGGAATCCTTGTGCTCTTTGAGTAGGATTGTAAGTTGCTACAGCCACTGTGTAAAACAGGTTCCTTAAAAAATTAAAAATAGAACTACCATATGATCCAACAATCCCAACTTCTGGATATTTGTCCAAAGAAAATGAAAACACTTAAGTTGAAAAGTTATATGCAACCACCCCCATGTTTCTTGCAACACTGTTTATAAAAGCCAAGATATGGAAACAATGTAAGTGTCCACTGATGGATGAATGGATAAAGAAAATGTGACACAGACATGTATGTACACACACACACACACACAGAGGATTATTCAACCATGAACAAGAATGAAATCTTGCCATTTGTGACAACATGGATGGAACTTGAAGGCATTGTGCTAAGTGAAATAAGCCATACAGAGAAAGACAAATGATCCTGCTTATATGTAGAATCTAAAAACAACCCTCCCCACCAAACTCCAAAAAACCAAGCTCATAGATATAGAGAATAGATTGGTGGTTGCCAGAGGTGAAGGGTGGGGAGGTGGGTGAAATGGGTAAGGAGAATCAAAAGCTACAAACTGCTAGTTTTAAAGTAAATAAGTTGTAGGGATATAATGTACAGCAGGAAGACTATAGTTAATTATACTGTATTGCATATTTGAATGTTACTAAGAGAGTAGATCTTAAGTTTCTTTTCACAAGAAAAGAAATTCTGTGACTATATATGGTGACGAATGTTAACTAGACTTATTGTGGTGATCATTTTGCAACATATACAAATATATCAAATCATTATATTGTATACCTGAAAACAACATAATGTTATATATCAATTATACCTCAATAATCAAAATAAAACAAAGGAAATAGAAAGTCTTAGGAAAGAAATTGAAAATATAGGGAAGAAACAAGAAATCTGAGGATTAAAAACATAATAACTGAAATAAAAAGCTTAGTGGATGGGCTCAAAAATAGAATGGAGGAGGCAGGAACCAGTGAAGTTGAAGATAGAACAGTAGAATTTATCCAGTCTGAACAACAAAGAGAAATAGACTGAAAAAAATTTTACAGACTTGTGGGAACAGGTCCCTTGACCTGTGAGAAAATTACAAAAGATCTAACATTTGTGTTATTGCAGTCCTGCAAGGAGAATAAAAAGAAGAGATAGAGGTGACTGAAAATGTGTAAGAAGAAATAATGGCTGAAAAACTCCAAATTTGGAAAAAATAACAAACATATTTAGGAGCCTGAGCAAACCCCAAGCAAGAAAAAACTAAAGAAATTCATACTAATCTCAGTAGTCAAACTTCTGAGAAATAATGACATAGAAAAAACCTTGAAAGCACCAAGAGAGAAACAATATGTTACCTATAGGAGAAAAACAATTTGAATGGCCGTGGATTTCTCATCAGAAACAATGGAGGCCAGAAATCAGCTTATATCCAGAGAAAATATCTGTTGGGAATGAAAGGGAATCAAGACATTTTTAGATGAAAGGAAACTAAGAGAATTTGTTGCTGGCAGATTTGCCCTTAAAAATGACTAGAGGAAGTTCTCTAACTAGGAAAAAATTGATGAAAAGAAGAACCTTGGAGTATCTAGAAGGAACAAAAGCATTTAAAGCAAAGATATGAGTAAATGCATTAGTTTTCTTCTCCTTTCTTCTCCTAAATTATATTTTGAGGATGAGTGGGATAGAAACTTGATTATGAATTCCTATGGAGGACAAATTAACCTGGCACCTGAAAACTCTGCTTTTCTCTGTTGGTCTAGGAAATGTGATCAGGTGTATGGAGTCTTTGAAGTATATCTGACTAGAAATAAAAGTGGTCAAGACTCAGTGTCACTTTATAATTGTGGATCTTTATGTACTGTGTTTGGGTCTTAGACGTTTATTCTAAAACGTCTTTGTAACACCCACCCTCTAGGAGACGTCACTATTAAGGTTTCATAGTTAATGCTGCAGGGATGCTTGCGAGTTGAGTTTCTAAAATCATTTGAGTTCATTTTTCTGGTGAAAAATCTTTGGGAAAATGAATAATAGTCCAATGAAATATTATTAAAAGTCAATGGAAACATTAAAGAAAACATAATTACTAATAATTCAATGCAGTCAAACAGTTATTATTTTTAAAATCTTACCACATTTTCTTCAAGGTTTTGTCACAAATGCCTGATCAATTTTTATGCCTCCAACTATTTTTTGAAATAAATTTAGTTTTTTGTTTGATTTAATTTTTATTATTTATTGATAATAAACTTCATTTTGTAGAATCGTTTTAGAATACAAAAAATTACAAAGACACTATGGAGGTTTCCCATATATTACACATCCTGTTTCCCCCATTAATAATATGATAATAGTGGGTTAATAGTGGCCCCAACAAGATATGTCCACGTCCTAACCCACAGTACCTGTGAATGTGACCTTATTTGGAAGTAGGATCTTTGCAAATATAATTCCGAATCCTGGGGTGAATCCTGGATTTAGGGTGGGCCCTAAATCCAATAAGACAGGGTCATTATAAGAGGAAAATGCCTTTGACCACACAGACACACAGGGAAGAAGGCCATTTGGCAGTGGAGGTAGAGATTGGAAGGATGCATCGGCAAGCTAAGGAATGCCTGGGACTGGTGGCAACCACCAGAAGTTAGGAAGAGGCAAGGAAGGATTCTTGCCTAGAGCCTTCCAAAGGAGCCTGGAAAATACCCACCCCTTGATTTTAGACTTCTAGTTTCCAGAACAATGAGAGAACACATTTCTGTTAGTTTGAACCACCAGTGGTACTTTGTTATGGCAGCCTCGGCAAACTAATACAGTTTACAGTACCATGAACCAGTATATATATACATTGTTATTAACTAAGGTCCATACTTTATTCAGACTTCTTTAGTTTTTATATAACATTCATTTTCTGTTCCAGAATCTCATCCAGGATACCACAGTATATTTCTTTGTCATATACGTTAGTTTGCTCTTGGCTGTGACAGTTTATGAGACTTTGGGGGAGTGGTAGTAAGTAGTTAGGTATTTTGTAGAATGTACCTCCATTGGGATTTGCCTGGTGTAATTTTGGAAGAAAGACAACCAAGGTAAAGCACCATTTTGATTGCACTATATCAAAGGTACGTATTATTAACGTGTGTTATGACTGTTGATGTTAGCTTTAATCATCTGAGGTAGAAACTTTGTCAAGTTTCTTCATTGTATGGTTTCCCCTTTTCCCCATTTTCATACTGTACTCTGGAAGGAAGCCACTTACGTTCAGCTCACACTTAAGAATATAGAGCTATGCTCTCTTTGAGGCCAGAGTATAATAAAAACATTAATTTGTATTTGTACAGATTGTCTATTCTTCTCATTTATTTATTTATTCATTCAATTATTTATATCAGTATGACTCATGGATATTTATGTTGTACTTTGAGTTATAATCTAATACTACTTTATTATTGTTATTAATATTGGCATTTTATTAAGACATTTTGGGCTTTGGTTATTGAGAATTCCTTCAGTTGGCTCCTATGTCCCTTTGACACCATCCCCCATTATTGTGGGATTTTTTAAAACACTTTTTTTTTAAAAAAACAGGCTCATCTTATATATTTCCTGCTCTAGTCCATAGAATCAGCCATTTCTTTTTTTTTTTTAATGTTTATTTATTTATCTGAGAAGGAGACAGATGGACAGATAGAAAGCACAAGCGAGGGAGACGCAGAGAAGGAGGGAGAGAGAGAATTCCAAGCAGGCTTGGCGCTATCTGTGCAGAGCCCAATGTGGACCTTGATCTCATGAACTGCAAGACCATGACCTGAAGCCAAAATCAAGTTTCAGATGCTTAATCAGCTGAACCACCCAGGCACTCTAAGAATCTGCCATTTCAACCAGCCCCAGTTCCTTTTATTGAAGAACGTAATTAGAAAACAATAGCTAAACATTAGGTGTGCTTGTTGCTACTGGGGTATTATTGCTTCCAGGCCTTCTCAGCTGACACAGCAAGGAAATATGTATGCTGTACTAACTCCTGTAAATGTGTCTTTATGTCCCTGTCTGTGTCTAAATTAAAGTAAACATGGGGTCACACTGATGTCTCCAACTTGAATCTATCACATGATTATTCTAACTTCCTCCCTTGCTTTTCTTTAAACTCTTAATCCAACAGGGACAACCCTGGCTGCTACCATCTTCCATCCATTCACTTAACTGTTCAACTCCAGTATAGAAGTATCAGAACTATTAACCCATTTCCTGTGGGATACAATTTCATCAACTAAGTACAGTGTTATGTATAATACCTTTTGCCTTTATTTTTATAAACTATACTCATTTCCAAAGTTACTAAGGTCAGCAATTTTTTCCCCAACCCCCTTCAGTGAGGTTGTTTCATATATTTATAATACAGTTAAATTGTTTTGTTATATTCTGCATTCCATCCTGGGATCACCTTAATTTCCTAAATGAGTTTCCTTCCCTTCCCTTCCCTTCCCTTCCCTTCCCTTCCCTTCCCTTCCCTTCCCTTCCCTTCCCTTCCCTTCCCTTCCCTTTTTCCTTCCCTTTCCTTCCCTTTTTCCTTCCCTTCCCTTCCCTTGAGACAGAGAGAGAGAGAGAGAGAGAGAGAGAGGAGACAGGAGAGAGAGAGAGGGCATGAGCATGGTAGAGGGGTAGAGGAAAAGAGAGAATCCCAAGTAGATTCCATGTCCAGCATGGAGCCCAAAGCAGGGCTCAATCCCATGAACTGTGAGATAATGACCTGAGCTGAAATCAAGAGTCAGATGCTTAACTGACTGAGCCACCCATGTTCTCCCCTAAATAATTTTTTAAAATTTCTGTACACAAAGGTTCACTGTTTGTGCTCTAAGGTTCAGTGGGTTTTGACAAATGCATCATGTTACATAGCCACATTTCTAGTATCATGCAGAATAGTTTCACTTCCCTAAAAACTCCCCTATGCCTCATTAAGTTTTATTTTGAAAAAGTTTGAATAAACAAACAAATATAGGAACCAAACTAATATACACCTGGTGACACTTTATCGAGAATTTGTGTTAAGTTTTTGTCATACTTGTTTCAGATTTTAAAAAATAAAATAAATTAAAAAAATAATAAGTCTCTTTGTACCTCTTTCTAATTATATTTCTCTTCCTCCTAACCCTATGGCAGTTAGTTATAATTGCGATCTTTCTAGTCCATGATTTTATACTTTATTGGATGTATATGTGACACTAAACAATAAATACTATAGTTCCGTGTGGTCTAGAGACTTTTATGTAAATGATACTTTCTAAAAGCTGCTTATTTTGCTGTCAGCACTATGCTTCTAAGATCTATCTATGGTTTATAATTTTTTAGCTTGATTGGCCTTATAGTGTTATATAAATATGCCATATTTTATTAATTTGCTTCTCTATTAATGGACATGTAGACTGGGTTTTGATCTTTGCTATTTCATATGCTGTATAAACAACCCTGTACATATCTCTTCATGCACATGTGTAAGAATTTTCTTAGAGTATACAGTGGGAAGTGAAAATCGCTGGGTCATGTGGCATGTACATTTTCTATTTTACTAGAAACGGCCGGTTTGCTTCCAGTGTGGTTCTACTAGTTTGCCTACATCCTTGGCATCTGTTGGAATTGCCAACTCTACATTTCTGCTAATGTAAAAATTACAGCAACTCATTATCTGGGCAACTAGAAACACTTTTGACAGGAGTTTGGGTTTTTATGCCAAAAATCATTTGTTAGTTTCTAATAACCTTTTATTTTATTTTCAAAGGTGTCTGCTTATCCAGGATGTACGAAGTTGTTTTGGAATCCAACATCACCCAAATTCTCTGTTCCAGTATCTGTTATGAAGGAAATTCTATATCCAGAATATGAGGTAACATGCTGAATGACTCTTCTCTCTTATTTTTACCGTTTAATAATTAAATTGTATAATTGATTATGACATTAAATTTTACCTGACATTTGCTATGTAAATTGTCAGACAACTGTTGCCATAATTAAGAATGATTGGATGGTATTATAGTATTATACTTATCCATGTTACTTTAGACAGTTAAAAAGATTATTCTGCTTGCTTTTTTTTTCTTTTGTAATGTTTGTTTATTTTTGAGAAAGAGAGAGAGTGTGGGCAGGGGAGGGACAGAGAAAGAGGTGGAAAGAAGATCCAAAGCTGACTCTGTGCTGATAGCAGACAGCTTAATGCAGGGCTCAAACTCACAAACTGTGAGATCATGACCTGAGCCGAAGTCAGATGCTTAACCAACTGAGCCACGCAGGAGCCCCGATTGTTTTCTTTTTGAATACATATTTTATTTGACTGAGTTTCTAAGATATGTGATTACTCGGGTTGTTTAAAAAATCTTTGTGTCATTTTCATTTACTTTTTAAAGTGCACTTTTAGTTAATTTAATACCACCCAATACAATTATGACTCTTTTTCTTCTTCCCTTAAAGAGTGTTTGTTTGCTCTCATATTATGTTATATTGATTATTTTAAAAATTAGAAAACTCAAGAGAAGTAAATCCAATTCAACTATTATTCTTCTCCCTCAAGACAATTACTGCCTGCTGTTTGGTACATTTTCTTTCATTATCAAAAATTCTTAAAAAAAATTCTTCCTCTTTCTTCTTTTCTTTCTCCTTTTCCTCCTTTTCTCCTTTCTTTTAATTTCTTTTCCTTTTAAAACAATTCTGTGATTAACATTATTGTGCATAAATTTTTAATAGTACTTAGGATTATTTTATTTGTGTGGGATTTAGTGCAGCTTACTAAAATTCATATCAGATCATGATAAAACAAAAAACTAAAGAAATCATGAGAAGAACATAAGAAGGGTGTATTACCCTTCTTGTGTAATAGTCAGAGGTAAAATTACATAAAAAACTTTGTCCATATGTGATGTTACTTGAAATAGAATAATCATTTTATCGGGCTCTGTGCTGACAGCTAGCTCAGAGCCTGGAGCTTGTTTCAGATTCTGTGTCTCCCTCTCTCTCTGACCCTCCCCTGCTCACGCTGTCTCTGTCTCTGTCTCTCTCTCTCTCAGAAATAAATAAAACATTAAAAAAAATAATCATTTTACCTCTTAGCTTCCCCGCAACCAAGACAGGGATGAAATCACATTCATATTGGACCTATTCTGAATGTTAATATTGAAACATCTTTACATTTTTTAGGTTACTTGCTTATGGTGTATTATGCTGAAATATTATGTTGAATTCTGTTAGACAAATTTTATTTTTAATGTATACTCATGGTGAAATATATATGAAGTGCCTTTTTTTCTTTGTTGGACTCTCCTATCAGGTTTATTCTTGCTTTATAAAGTTAATTGGGTAGAATTTCATTTTTTAAAATGTTCTGAAATTGATATAGCATAAATATAAAAATTTGGAGGAACTCAGTGGAAACATCTGAACTGTTTGGGAAAGTATTTGTTTGACAATTAGAATTTTTTCTTTTCTATAGTATTGTACTCTATGTTAACTAATTAGAGTTTAAATAAAAACTTAAAAAAAAGAAAAGTTCTATGGTTATTATTGCATTGAAACTACACTGAATATAACATGCTTTCAAGTAACATCTTCTTTCATTAAGATGTGTTTGCACAAACATGTACAAAAGAATTTTGGAATTAATATATGCTTAAATCATTGAAAAAAGAGAAGTTTTTCTTTTCTAATTTTTGTGTTGTTCAGTGTTTTTTGTTTGTTTTATTTATGTTTTATTTTAATTCTAGTATAGTTAACAAACAGGATTTTATTAGTTTCAAGTGTAAAATATAGTGATTCAACAATTCTGTATGTTACTCAGTGCTCATTATGATAAGCGTACTCTTTAATCTCCATTACCTATTTCACCCATCCCCCCAACTTACCTCTGCTCTATCAGTTATCATCAGTTCTCTATAGTTAAGAGTCTGTTTCTTGGTTTGTCTCTCTCTTTTTTCCTTTGTTCTTTTGGTTCTTAAATTTCATATATGAGTGGAAGGATATGGTATTTGTCTTTTTTGACTAACTTATTTCAGTTAGCATTATGCTCTGTAGCTCCATTCTTGTTGCAAGTGGCAAGATTTTTCTTTTTTATGGCTGTGTAATATTCCAGTGTGTGTGTGTGTGTGTGTGTGTGTGTGTGTGTGTGTGTGTACATACCATACCACTTTTCTTTATCCATCCATTTGTTGATGGACACTTGGTCTGTTTCTGTAAATTGGCTATTGTGGATAATGCTGCACTAAACATAGAGGTTCATATATCTTTCTGCATTAGTATTTTCATATTCTTTGAGTAAATGTCCAGTAGTGCAATTACTGGATCATATTGTAATTCTATTTTCAATTTTTTAAAGTAATCTCTACACCCACTGGGGGCTTGAACTTACTACCCCAAGATCAAGTGTTGTCTGCTATACCAACTGAGCCAGCCAGGCATGCCTCTATTTTTAGTTTTTTGAGAAACCTCCATACTGTTTTCCATAGTGGCTGCACCAGTTTGCATCCACTCCAGTAGTGTACAAGGGTTCCTTGTTCTTGGGTTGTTCAATGTTAAAGTATTTTTTCTTAAGTCATTTCATTCTTACAGAAAGCAATCTTTTTGATTGAAATGTATAAATTATATGTAGCGTTTGTATATATTGTCTCTTCAGTCTTAATCTTCATTTTTTAAAAAATGTTTATTAATTTATTTTGAGAGAGAGAAGGAGAAAGAGAGCAGAGAGTAGGGAGAGAGAGATTATTCCAAGCAGGCTTCACGCCCAACGCAGAGCTCCCGACTATGAGATCATTACCTGAGCTGAAATCAAGTGGTGGATGCTTAACCATTTCTAATGGTTAATCTTCATTACTAATGTTGCATCACTTTCTTTCCCATTTCTAATCATATTTTTGAGATTTTTTCTTTCCAAAAAAATTTTTTAATGAGTTTAATTATTTTGTCTTTTCTCATTTGTTTTCAGTTACAATTGCTTTAGTCTCCACGTCTCAAATTACTATACTCACACAGGTATCAAATCATTAACTTTTTTTTAGCAAGATTTATAATGTAGGATCCCCTAGCTTTTAGATATTTCTGGCCTGTCAGACAGACAAAATAATTAACATTGAACAACCCAAGAACATTGTTAACTGAGCACTTACTTTTCAGTAGGCAGTATACTACAGACGTTCATTAAATTCTCAGAACACCCACTTTACATAGAAAAACAACTATTTTGGTAAATTGTGTTTTATCATCCTTATTTTGGAAGTATATATACTGTTTCTTATAGTGATTTCCCTTGATATACATCTTTAATTATCAAAATCTGATGTTAATCAATATCTCTATACTCTTCCAGGAAATTCAATGACTTTTAAAACCTTTCAATTTCATTACCACCTCTTGACTTAATATGTTTTTACTTTAATATGTTTTTAGATATTTATCTTCTAAAACTCTCAAAACATTGTTATTAATATTTTATAGAATACTTTTTCTATTTTACCCATATATTATCCCTCTCTTTTTTCTTTTCTTTCTTTTTTTAATATTTTATTTATTTTTGAGAGAGAGATAGAGACAGCATGAGCAGGGGAGGGTCAGAGACAGAGGGAGTCACAGACTCTGAAACAGGCTCCAGGCTCTGAGCTGGTAGTCAGCACAGAGCCCGACGCGGGGCTCGAACCCACGAACCGCGAGATCATGACCTAAGCGAAAGTCGGACGCTTAACCGACTAAGCCACCCAGGCGCCCCTAGGTGCTACTTATTTTAGTTTATTTATTTTTGAGAGAGAGATAGAGACAGCATGAGCAGGGGAGGGTCAGAGACAGAGGGAGACACAGAATCTGAAGACAGGCTCCAGGCTCCAAGCTAGCAATCAGCACAGAGCCCGAAGAGGGGCTCGAACCCAAGAACAGAGAGATCATGACCTAAGCGAAAGTCGGACGCTTAACCGACTAAGCCACTCAGGCGCCCCTCTTTTCTTTTTTTTAATCCTCGTACCATCAAAGGTTATTTACTACCAGTCTTCTTAAAAAAGAGGCTTAAAAACACTTATTTATTTATTTATTTATTTAATTTATTTTATTTAATTTAAGTAGGCTCCATGCCTAGTGTGAGGCTTGAACTCAAGGTGACCCTGAGATTAAGAGTCACATTCTCTACTGATTGAGCCCGCCAGGCACCTGTACTTCTATTCACTTTAAATCTGAGGATATAGCATCTCCTGTAGCCTTGGATACTTGTATATTTTGTATGTGTACAATATTATACAGTGTATTACATTTATGTAAATATATATAAATAAATCAAGTTCCATAACTTAGGTAAGTCCCGGGCTTTGATTGCTATCACCCTTGCCCCAAGAATTTGTCATTCTGTAGCTCAGACTTACAGCTGGTTTGGCAAACATCATGAGAACAAAAGCATCATAAATACTGGGCTTTTCCGGGTTCTTGTCTTTTCTTAGATTTTGGCCCAGTATCTGTTCATCATCATGTTAGCTTTTTGATGCTTTGAAGATTGTGTTTTTCATATTACAAGTAGCTTTCTTAGTTTTCCTCAGCAGAATTACCTAGCCTGCCATAATTAGAAGCAGTCATAATTGACTTTTAAGGCAGCAAAACTGTTTCCATTTCTATCTACATTGCAGCTACTATTGGACACATATCAGTTTTAGCAATAACTCTGGAGTAGAGCAATAACTCTGGAGTTACATCAGATGTCATATAAGCAATATTTGCTCTCTCAAGATACATTGGTTTGGCCAATATCTTGGCAGGTTCCAATATATGAACCATGTTCTCTTTTTAAAAATCAACCATTTATTGTTAGTAAGTTTTGCTGTTTCGATATCTGTAAATTACAGTTTTAAGGTTTTTGTCTTTTGTTATTATTAAAAGCACTTTCTTAAGTAGATAGTAGCTGCTATTCTGTCGTATTTTATGTAAGCATATGACAAAATAGTTCCAAGGTCTCTTGTGTATCACATAGTTTGTCGTTGAAGAGTAATGGTGACCAAGTATCCTTCTGCTATGGTTAGTAATTCTCTTAGCTTATACTGTGCTATAGCTGTATTAGAAAAATACAATAGAAGGTGAATAAACATCAATGCTGGTGATTCCTAAATTACCCATAGCCTTCTCCATATCTGTTCCATTCTCAATGGTAATTTCCTGGTACTTTTAAAAGCTAATTTCCTATTGAATAAATATTTTTTGAATTTGAAATGTTAGTTGTTTGAGACCTAAAAATTTCAGCAAAGTAGCAGTATGATTTAATTCATCGTGAATACACCAGGCTGTCAAGCTTTGATCTTCTAGTTGTTTCTATATATCCAAATCACTGCTTATAATATAGAAGAATAACACATTTAATAATAATTGTAATGATTATAGCAATTTACCCTTACAACAATAAATATACATATATAACTTAGTTAATGGAAAGAGTTTGAATTGTAAAGCATTTAAGGAGATTTCCAGTCCAGTAAAAATTTAGAATGCTTACTTGTATCTGACAGAGAATAGTCATATATTGACAATAAATACAAATAATGTCTTATTCGTAATTCTGATATTGACGTACTAAATAGATTCAATGCTAACCTATGAAATCACGGTATCATTGATTGCTCCTAAGATTAGTAATGCCAAAACTAAGGTAGAATATCCATTTAGCTAATAGCCAAGACAGAAGCCAAATTGTGGGTTTTGGCCAAATACTATGGCTGTTGCTGGACTTTTAATATGTTTCTGGTAAACGTTTTTTATACTTCTACCTTTTCCATATGTTTGGTAATAATGTTGTACTGTGATGTAACAGTAATCATAGGCTTTTTAAAGTATTCCACTATATAACTTAAAACTGTTATCTTTTTATAACAGAGTGTTCAAGCAAGCAAAATTTTAATTGAAAAATTTTCATCTGAAAGCAAGGAAAGTGTCATTTTAAATCAGCATACCAGAAGTTCTAGGGTATGTATGATTTTTATTTTAAATTGTGAATCAGTTGCTTTATCTTGCTACAGCTCAGATATGATTTCTGGAAATTATTTCTTGGTGCCTCCTCACTCTGGGAAATATCTCAGAAGATTCATTACTGGTGCCTTTGCTCTTTTTCAAATGTGTTGTCTTTGTGACACTCAGAAGATATTATTTACTAATCAATAGCAATCTGTCTGCTGTGAATTTTCCTAAATTTTTGACAATTTCTGGTCTCACACTTATTTATCACTTCTTGGCTCGGTCTTAAATGATTAAAGAAACATGTTTGTGAATGTTTTGACCAAATGGGGGAATTGGTTATGGCCATGAAACGGTAAAACTGAATTCTCTAAATGGTGATTAGACTCATCCTCATGGCATTATTATCACTGTAGTGGATACAAGTAAACTACTTAAATAATATACACAATTGGATAGAAAAGAAATAATGATTGAGGGAAGCTAAGAGAAGAAGAAGGGTATGAAGTATACATAACTGGTTTAATAGATGTCCTGAACTTTGTGGGGGACAAAAGAAACAATTTTAGTTTTCTCTCATTAGTGCCTTCAGCCCTCTGTTCCCCTTGATGATATCTTGGGATGCTTAATGGCACATAGTGGAAAGTCTTGGTGCCTTGGACAAATCAAATCCCATTCTAGCCAGTTAGCTAGATTAAAGATATGTCTATGCCTCCTCCTTTATCTCTCATACAGTTAGGTAATATGTGTGTTTTTTTTTTTTTGGAGGGAATAATGTTTCTAATTAATATAGATCATTTTTTGTTATTTTCCTTATAGCACTTACTAAATATTTGTCCGTATGTATGTTTGATCATTTTATTCCTCACCAGCCTGGGCTAATGCCATTCTTCTTCTCTGTTTTATCCATATCACCTAGAGCAGTGACCATCACATAAAAAATAATTGAACCAATGAATATCACCATCTAGTTTGGAGTGCCACTTGTACTTTCTAGACTATTATAGTAGCACTGTGTATACCTACCTGTCAGATATTCCATTTTTAGTAGCTGCTTCTTCCAATCCATCCTCTTACTGCCTCATAGTTTATTTTTAAAAAAATTTTAAATGTTTATTTATTTTTGAGGAGGAGAGATCCAGAGCATGAGCAGAGGAGGGGCGGAGAGATCAGGAGACACAGAATCTGAAGCAGGCTCTAGACTGAACTCTCAGCACAGAGCCTGACAGTAGGACTAGAACCCATGAACCATGACATCATGACGCAAGCCAAAGTCAGACACTTAACCTACTGAGCCACCCAGGTGCTCCACCTGCTATGTTAAATCAAGTAGGATTGTATCACTCATGTCTCAAACTGAGTACCTCCACCTACCAAATATGCCTCATAACCTGGCCTCAACATGACTTTCTAGCTTACCTCCCATTATATGTCTGCTTTTATGTGGTCTGGATGTATCTGGTACTCTGCCCGTACCAGAGCCCTTGGAGACTCTTACCTCGCCCCCCTCCCCCTTCCCCTGCTGCATTCTCTGTGCTTGTTTAGGCTGTTCCCTTGCCCTGGCATGTTCTCAACTCCACCTCAGTCTATGGCAATGTTGTCACCGTTCACAGGGAAGCCCTGCGCTCCCTCTTCCTGCCAGTGTATCCAGGTCGCATCCCTTTCAGAACTGACTTCTCCCTATCCTGTGTTCTCTTTACACCAGATCCATTCATGCCATCTGTAGTCGGTGCCACAGCTGCTTTGGATTATAGTTCTTTCTTTTCTTCATGTTTCCACTATTGTATTGGTTGAGGATACATGTCATTTTTTTGGTACTTTCCACACTATCTAGTATAGTAGAATTTCCCAACTCTTTCATTTTAATAGCTCTCAAAGTAAGTGATGATATTTGTATGGTCCTGTGGAGTAGAAGGTTGAGGTTGTTCATGATGACAGTAGCTGCTTCAGGTCCTACTAGTGCAGCCTCAGTGCTAAAGAGATCAATGGCTCAGCATATTTATGGCACAGTTATACACATTTGTGCCCCTTACATCAACCAGAAAGCTTTGGTAAGTGTTTGTTGTATCATTGAATTTAAAAACATAAGAGTTTCCATTATTAAGCACTTTTCTAAATCAACTGATGGACCTTCAGTTCTGCTCCTCTCTGTGAAATCAGGGACTTCAAAGTCAGTCAGAATGTGTATTTTAATTAGTATTTCTGCATTTCATTAATTTACCTAAGCAGTTATCATTAGTCAATTGTCATATGATATTTTACTTTACCAAATAGTATCTATAGTCAATGCATTTTTGTCATTTGATTATTTCAGTTTCTTTTCCTAAGAAAATCTGCATCATTTCAGAATATCCAAAAATGTTACAGCATACCATCTTCACAATTAAAGGTATGATTTTTAGTCTTTATTATGCAGAATAAATGCTTGTATTTCTATTAATAATCACTACTGATGCTTTTTTGTTTGTTTTCCTGAAATAGTATAGTCAGTTGATTCATTCAGAGTTGATTAAAAGTTTGGATTTGAGTGTGTATTTGGTAGCCCCTGTAAAATTGTGATTGGTGCTGCCAATTTAAGGTTTTCAAAAGCTTTTGGAAGTATCTCATGTTCATAGTTTGACTTGGTATATTATAAGTCAAGCCAATGATATTGACCAACATTTGCACTGGGCTCATCGTTTTAAAGCATTTTCATGAACACTAGTCCAGTCTAGTCTCAAGCTTCACAGTATCCCAAGAGAGGGAAGGTGAGACAGATATTATCCTTGTTTTATGTGTGAAAAACAAAGGTCAGAAAGTGATAAATGGCAGAGCTAGAAGTTAAACCCACAACCCCTATTAGTAAATGCAATGTACTTTCCTTTGCACTGAGGATGCACAGGCCTTTTGGAGTGGCTGGTTCTTCTTTTTTTAAGTGTATTTATTTATTTTGAGAAAGAGAGAGAGCATGCACACGAGAGAGCGGGGTTGGGGGGGAGACAGAGAGAGAGAGAGAGAAAGAGAGAGAAAGAGAGAGAGACAAAGCACAACTGGAGGAGGGAAGAGAGAGAATCCCAAGCAGGCTTCATGCTGTCCACCTAGAGCCCATGGTGGGGCTTGATCCCAGGAACCACAGGATCATGACCTGAGCTGAAAACCAAGAACTGGATGCTTAAGTGACTCAGCCACCCCGACACTCCTGGAGTGGCTGGTTCTTACCCTCAGTGGCACTGATATCTAGCTTCAGCTTTTGTTTTTATGTCTGAAATCTTAGAAATCTATCCTCCATGTTACTTGCTTGTAACTTGCTTAATGTAAGCCTGCTTCCTATGTCATTTCTGACATATTCTTTTCTTACTGACCTTTTGATTCCTCTGCTTTATATTCCTGTACAATCACACTATCCTTAGGATTTCTTTATTGGCATATAACTGACATATAACATTATATTAGTTTCAAGTATACAACACTGTAATTCAATATTTGTATGTATTGCAAAATGATCACCACAACAAGTTTAGCTAACATGGTGATACATTTTTTTCATGTGATAAGAACTTTTAAGATCTACTCTCTTGGAAGCTTAAATTTTTTTAAATGTTTATTTGTTATTTTGAGAGAGAGAAGGAGACAGAGTCCAAGCAGGGGGGCGGGCAGAGAGAGAGGGAGACATAGAATCCGAAGCAGACTTCAGGCTTTGAGCTGTCAGCATAGAACCCGATGCAGGGCTTGAACCCACAAACTGTGAGATCATGACTAGAGCCGAAATCAGATGCTCAACTGACTGAGCCACCCAGGCACTCCCATTAAAAAAATTATTTTTGCAACTTCTAAATATACAAGACAGTATTTAAAAAAATGTTTTTCTTTCATAGTTTATTGTCAAGTTGGTTTCCATATAACACCCAACGCTCATCCCAACAACTGCCCTCCTCCATGTACAATACAGTATTTTAACCACAGTAACTCTGCTGTATTACATCCCCAGGACTTATTTATTTTATAATGGAATTTTGTACCTTTTGACCATCATCACCCATTTTATCCATTACCCAATCCTTGCCTCTGGCAACCACCAATCTATTTTGTGTATCTATGAGTTGTTGTTTTTAAGATTCCATGTATAAGTGAGATTATACAGTATTTATCTTTTTCTTTCTGAGTTATTTATTTATTTTACTTAGCATAATGCTCTCAAGGCCCATTCATATTGTTGCAAATGTCAGAATTTCCTTTTTGAAAGTTCATTTATTTATTTTGGGAGGGCAAGGGTAAGGGATAGAGAAAGAGTATCCTAAGCAGACCTCACACTGTCAGCACTGAGCTCAGTGTGGGACTTGATCCCACAAACCATGAGATCATGACCTGAGCTGAAATCAAGAGTTGGACGCAACTGACTAAGTCACCGAAGCACCCCGAACTTCCTTTTTAATGGGTGAATAATATCCCATTATATATATGCACATATATGCACATCACATTTTCTTATCTATTCATCCATTGATGGACACCTACGCTGTTTCTATATCTTGGCTATTATGACTAATGCTGCAAGGAATAAGGAGTGAAGATAACTCTTCAAGGTCCTGATTTCATTTCATATGCCCAGAAGTGGGATTAGATCTTATGGTACTTCTATTTTTAGTTTTTTGAACAACTTCTATACTGTTTTCCATAGTGGCTGCACCAATTTACATTCCTATCAAGAGTGGACAAGGGTTCCCTTTTCGCCATAGCAATACCAACACTTAATATCTCTTGTCTTTTTTATAATAGCTATTCTACCTCTTTATTTCTTGTATACCTATCATAGGTTTTGGGTTTGCAGTTACCATGCGGTTTGTATGTAACATCCAAAGTACACAGAAGTCTATATATATTTGATGGTCATTTAAGTTCAAATACATTCTAAGAAAACAAAAAAAAACACAAAAATTCTTTTTTTCTTTTCCCCCTTTTCTTGTCTCTTTTTACTCCCTCCTCCATATTTTATACATATGTTTTCATAGTTTACATCTTTTTATTAATAATTTTTTTATGTCTAATTGTGACCATTTCTTTTCCACTTAGAGAAGTCCCTTTAACATTTCTTGTAAGGATTGCTTAGTGGTGATAAATTCCTTTATCTTCTGTTTGTCTAGGAAAATCTTTATCTTTCCTTTAAATCTAAATGACAACTTTGTGGGGGTAGAGTATTCTTGGTTGTAAGTTTTCTTCCTTTCAGCTCTTTGACTATATTACGTTACTCCCTTTAGACCTGCAAAGTTTCTGCTGAAGAATCAGCTGAAAGCCTTATACGTTTTCTCTTATAGGTAACTTTTTGTTTCTTTTTGCTGCTTTTATCTTCTCTTTATCTTTAACCTTTGACATTTTATTATTATTAAAAATGTTTGTTTATTTTTGAAAGAGAGACAGAGAAAGAGAGAGAGAACAGAAGAGGAGCAGAGAGAGGGGGAGACACAGAATCCGAAGCAGGCTCCAGTCTCTTAGCTATCAGCACAGAGCCTGACGTGGGGTTTGAATTCACGAACCGTGGGATCATGACCTGAGACAAAGTCATACACTTAACCGATTGAGCCACCCAGGCACCCCTAACCTTTAACATTTTAATTACTGTGTGCTGTGGTGTGGGCCTCCTTGGGTTCATCTTGCTTGGAACTCTGTGCTTCTTGGACTTGGATATCTATCTCCTTCCCTAGTTTAGTGGACTTTGCAGTTATTATTTCTTCAATTAAGTTTTCTACATTTTTATCTTTCTTTTCTTCTTCTGGGACCCCTGTAATGCAAATATTTGTTCACTTGAGGTTGTCCAAGAGATCTCTTAATCTATCCTCATTTAAAAAATTCTTTTCTCATTTTACTGTTGAGCTTGTGTGCTTTTTATTACCTTGTCTTCCAGGTCACTGTTACGTTCTTCTACATCCTCTCATCTACTGTTGATTTCTTCTAGTATGTTTTTTATTTCTGTTATTGTATATTTCAATCCTGATTGGTTATTATTATTCTTTAAAATATTTTCTATCTCTTTATTGAATGTTTCACTGAGTTATTCCACTCCATCCCAGTGAGTACTTTATGACCATTACTTTAAATTCTTTATCAGGCATATTGCTTATCTCTCTTTCATTTATTTTTCTGAGGTTTTTTTTCTTGTTCTTTCTTTTGGAGCATATTCCTGTTTCCCCATTTTGCTTGACTTTCTGAATTTGTTTGTAGATGGAACAGCTACTCCTCCTAAACTTAAAGAAATGGTCGCTCTTGTGTATGGTGTCCCCTGTGCAAACTGTGTGTGCTTGGCGACTTTTGCTGTCTGGCTGTAGCTGTGGCTGTATAGTCCAATTGCTCTTTTAAACTGTGGCTTTTTACAGAAAGAAGAAAATAATAATAAAATAACAGTAAAATTAAAAAAAAAGAAAAAGAAAAGAAGGGAAAAAAGGAAGAAAGGAAAAGAAGAAAAAAAAAGAAAAAAACCCCAAAATGGTGCCTGGGTGGCTCAGCTGGTTAAATGTGCAACTCGGCTCAGGTTATGATCTCGTGGTTTGTGGGTTTGAGCCTCGCATGGGGCTCTGTGCTGACAGCTCAGAGCCTGGAGCCTGCTTCAGATTCTGTGCCTCCCTCTTTGTCCCTGCCCTTCCCCTGCTTCCCCTGCTTGTGCATTGTCTCTCTGTCTCTCAAAAGTAAATAAATGTTAAAAAAGAAAAGAAAGAAGGAAGGAAGGAAGGAAGGAAGGAAGGAAGGAAGGAAGGAAAGGAGGGAGGGAGGGAGGAAGGAAGGAAAGAAGGAAGGAAGGAAAGAAGGAAGGAAGGGAGGGAGGGAGGAAGGAAAGAAGGAAGGAAGGGAGGAAGGAAGGAAGGAAGGAAGGAAGGAAGGAAAGAAAGAGAGAGAGAGA